GGGTTACATGATGGCCAAGAAGCACCTGGAGATCAACCCTGACCACCCCATTGTGGAGACCCTGAGGCAGAAGGCCGAAGCTGACAAGAATGACAAGGCTGTCAAGGATCTGGTGGTGCTGCTGTTTGAGACTGCGCTTTTGTCTTCTGGCTTCTCCTTGGAGGACCCCCAGACCCACTCCAACCGAATCTACCGCATGATCAAGCTGGGCCTGGGCATCGATGAAGATGAGGTGACTGCGGAGGAGCCCCGTGCTGCTGCTCCTGATGAGATCTCTCCCCTTGAAGGGGATGAGGATGCGTCCCGGATGGAAGAAGTGGATTAGGAGCTCCTGCTGTGGGAAACCTGTGTCCTTTGTATAGTGTCCCTGCGGCTCCCCAGCAGCCTGAGTGGCCCTGTCCCACCTCTCCCTCTGCTAAGTCTAGTAACTAATTTCTCCTGCCCTGTGTTGAAAGCAGGAAGGGCCTTGAGCCCTATCCCCTCCGTAATTTGACAGCAGAGTTGGATGTTGTGTATCGTGATCTTATTTTTTTGTTTATTTTGTTCTGAAATTAAAGTATGCGAAATAAAGAAGATGGAGTTTTATACAGTTCTGCTCTCCTTTCCCTGCTTGATCCCGAGTACCTTGCTGTTCTGAGCACAGCAAGCCAGCTGCTAAAGGCAGGCTATTAGCTGCCTTGGGATAACTGCCCTTGCTGTCCCCTCCAGGCAACCAAAACATGGGGCCAAGTCTGTTGCAGCAGTTTTAATAAAATAAAATTATAAGAGCAAAAAGTGACATCTCCAAAGTACCAAAACCGCCTGACTCCAGTAGAGCCTCAGCCCAGGAGCAAGCACTGGGCAGGGCTGGCCCACTGCCAGCACAGGGCCTTACTCAGTCCAACCCCTGGGAAGCAGCATTTGCGTTGTGCTTTTCTCACAAGAGTAAGAAAGGCTGGTCAGGTGGGGACCCCCAAGGTGAGGGCTGGTGGCATAGCCCACAGCTGGCCCAGACTTGGTCTGGTAAGTGACTGCCACAGGACTCCTGCCTGGGGAACAGGTGGCTTAAGGCAAGGGAGGCTGCCTCCTGGCTCCCACCTCATCCACAAGAGCCAGCCTGAAAGTACTGCATCTACCCTGGAGCCAGGGGCTCAAGCTAGAGTAGGAGGCCAGAGAAATGGCCACATGGCAATCCTGACACTTAACCCTCGGCCCCTCAAACCTTCTGCACAGGTGACTCAACAGGCATAGCCTTCTTACCCCTTTGCTTTAGCCGACCTCGGGCATAGACTCTGAGCAGGAGGGCAGCAAACACGACAGCCACCCCCAGCCCACCCACTACAGTGACAGTGTGGCCATAGAGCAGGCAGGAGAGGAGGATGGCAATAGCCTGGCGGAGGGTCATGATGATGGTGAAGACAGCTGCCCCGAACTGGCCAATGGTGTAGAAGATGAAGAGCTGGCCGAAGGCAGAGCAGATGGAGAGGAGGAGGGCATGGGCTGCGAACTCGCTGTGCCGCCCCATGAAGCGGGTCCCCTCCAGGAGGGCTCCCTGCTCTAGGAGCGAGACCACTGTGAAGACGCAGGAGAAGAAGTTGACCCCAAACATCATCTGCACAGATGACATCTTGTGTGCAAACAAAGCGTCCTGCCAATTGGAAGTGAAACTGTCAAAGGCAATATAGCCCGCCAGTAAGAGGAGGCCTGAGAGCGTGGTGGCTGGGGAACTGCGGGGCTCAGGGCCACTGGACAGCAGGAACATGCTGACCCCTACAGAGATGAGGCCAGCTGTCAGGTACTCCCAATGCTCATAGCTGCGCTTGGACACCAGCTTCCCCATCAGCATGACAGGGATCACCTTGGAGGCCTTGGCCAGCACCTGCGTGGGGAAGCTGACGAACTTGAGAGCCTCGTACTGGCACCAGCTGCTAAGCACATTGGACAGACTGGCAAAGGAGTACTGGTACATGGGTGCCCCGTGCCGAGGCTGCTTGCAGAGAACACAGGTGAGGCCCGCCACTATGAGTGCCAGCACTCGGTTCATCAGCACCAGGAACTGCGAGTCTGTGAAGCGCTCGCCAGGTGATGTGGCTGTGGCCCCGTAGCTGCGGGTCATCACTCTTTCCTGCAGCACACCCCAAGTCAGATAGGACACCTGCAAGGCAGATGGTGGGGACAGGAGACTGTAAGCAAAAGAAGGAAGAGGCAGACAGAAGTAGATTCCAGCTGCCCTCTTCCTCAGGATGGTTCAGCACAATACAGGTCACGCATGCTCTGGTTCTTCTGTAGTAGAAGTTTCCTCCCTCCAGTAGAAGGAAAGTTTTCTTTCCCTCCCTTGGAGAGAATCAAGTGTGGGGAAAATACAACACATGAGCTAGGCTGCTCAGACTGGTCAGCGCCTGAAGTGAAGGTACTGAGAGCTAGCTACATTCATTGTGGATACAATGTGAGCTGGTACCTCCCCACTCTCTCCATAGAGCTGCATGATCAGCATCTTAGCCTCTCTCAAACAGTGTTTGAGAGTTCCTCCAAACTTTTATCTGTGCATGAGACACCATAGTGCCAGGGGAAAATGCAACAACAGCTTGGCACAGTAGAAATCACAAAAGTACGATACAGGCGCTCTGCAGCACCAGGTATGGTGAAGTGATCGTGTGGACTTGACCTTCAGTACCAGCATTCACTAAGGAAAAGAGGAAAGAAAACTTCCTCAAACACATCCAAGACTGGGAGTGTTTGTCCCTGGGAGGAGGGGGACAGAACGGTAGTGTGCTAACAGTCCCTGGCCACTGAGGCCCAGTGCAGAAGGGGGCAGAGCCTGCTACCTACCTGCAGCCCTATTACACAAAAAAGCAGCTTCAGGGTCTGCCAAATCGGGGTGGTCTCTGTTGCTTCTGTCCTGGAAACCAGGGGGACCTCATCGGAAGCCTTGGGCTCATTGCCAAACACACAGGCTTTCACCAGGGGGAAGCAGACACCCCTGCCTGAAGAAGGCAGCAAAGTCAGCCCGGAAGTCCCTGCACAACCCCACCTGGCCATCTCCAGGTCCCGTTCCGGCCTGGACGTCCGCCAGCCCCCGTCCCAAGCACCTGTCTCCAGGTAGTTCCTCCGCCTGAAGTACTGCACCAAGAGGTAGCCAGGGACCATGAAGCTGGCGTAGCCCGCGGCGTTCACCAGGAAGCGGAAGAGCCACAGCTGCGTCCACGACTCCGGGGAGGCCTCGGGGTCCCCGCCTGCGCCCAGGGAGGGCAGCGCCGCCAGCACCACCACCGCCCACCACCTGCGGGCCGGGGCAGCCGTGCTCGGGCGGGATGACGGGGACCGAGGGAGGGGAAAGGCAGGCAGCCTCCGCCCGCCAGGGACAAAGACCTCTCTCTCTGCGGCCACACAGGTCCCCTCTGTCCCGCCCGCGGCCGCCGGCCACACAGGTCCCCTCTGTCCCGCGGTGCCGCGCCCCTCCCCCGCTCCCACCCCGAGCGCTGCTCCCGGAGCCCGGATCCCTCCCCTGCCGACGCTCCTAGAGGCCCAGTCCATGCGGGCCAGTGTCCCCGCGGCTCTGGGCAGCACCATGAGGGCCAGCCTGTCGTGGGGACCCCCACCCCACACAGCTGGCCCTGGCACCATCACGTGGCCAGGGCGCGATCACGTGCCCGCCACGCCGGCCCCCCACCTGGTGTCCATGTCCGGACCGTAGGGTGGGGGAGAGTGGGGTCCCCGACTGCGATTCCACCGCTCCCGCCGCTGCTGCCACCGGCTCGAGAAGCAGCGGAAGCCTTGTGCGCCCGCCCTCGCCTGGGTGCCCGCCGCCGCCACAGCGCCCCCTCGCGGCTCGGAGGTGGCACGGCAGGAGAAGCAGGACTCCGAATGGTCGGGCTCCCAACTACTGCTTTTGGGTGGGATAAAGACTCCTTTTTTGGCGAGACCAGCAGTCCTGTCCCTTCGTCCCCGTAAGCTTCGAAGCTCTGCAAGCAATATCGCTCTACGTCCTATCGGAGCACTATCGCCCTTGGTCCCGCCCTGCCCACCCATTATCCCCTCCCACAAGCAAACTGCCACTGGTGTTGGGGTTCAGGATGGTAATGGCTGTTGAGTCGGCTAGACCCCACGTACCCCAGGTCACCTGTACAGGACCAACCAACAGGAACAGAGAGGAGGTGTGAAAAGTGCAGCCTCCGGTGCCTGCTTGGCAGGACGCCCTCCTCTAGGATCGTCCCCCATTCCCTTTCCTCAAACGCCACACAGCAGGGCTCTACCCCACTTAATGGACACGGGGTCACAGGCAACCTGCCTAGGCACACATAAACGACGCTAGAAGGTAAACACTTTCAAGTCTTTGCTAGTATTTTAGTGTCATTACTGCCCCCAAAGACTGTGTGAAGCAGGGCCCTCTGTGAAGTCTTTAGACAAGTGTTTTCTTTCTTTCTTTTTCTAGTACTGGGTGTTCAACCCAGGGGTGATCTACCCTTGAGCTACAGCTTAGCCTTTTTTATTTTGAGACAGGGTCTCTCTAAAGAGCCCAGGCAGGACTCAAACTTGTGATCCTCTTGCCTCAGCCTCCTTAGTAGCTGAAAATATAGGCCCACATCACCACCTGTGCCAGGCTTGAATTCTCAACAGCAGGAAGGTGGTACCCTAGGGGCCCTGCTTTGCTGTTTCAGTCTCTTCTCACTTGGGAGCAGTCAGGCCTTCTCCCTGGATGGCACCTGCAGGGTGGCTGATGCTGGTGGAATCCACTGCCTCTGCAATCTCCGAGGGGTGCCTAGGATTCACCAGGACACCTTGGGTTTTGGGTGTCCAGTCCACCGGGAGCTCTTCTTCTAGACTCCTCTCAACTCAGGACTGTCCTGCCCTAGGCTTGGGCCTCAGTCCTTAGGATGCCGGAAGGGCAGCCAGTAGGGGTCCAAGTGCAGCACATCCGGCCCCCAGGCTCCCTACCCGAGTTCAGTCAGCACACAGCAGTGGCTTCCCTGAGATCTTCAGATCATCGAAGGGCAGGAGAGTGAGCGGCTGAGAACAGAAGGGAACAAGGTCAGGGCCACTGGGAGCAGCTGCGGAGGTGGGGACCTGAGAAACGTGCTGGGACCCTCTTGCCCCCAAGGCTGAGACACACCAGGGAACACATCTTCACCACCATCCCCCGTCATGCCCACATCACGGGCCATGGGTCAGTTGGGCCCTGAGGCTGCAGCAAAGCTATCTATGGAGGAATAGCAGACAAGAGAAACCTCAAGGTAACCTAGCCTGTGCATCTGTTTGTAGCTGTGGTTGGGGGATGAACTGAGATTACAGGCATCCACCACCATGGCTAGTTGCACTGGACACTTAAAATGGAAAAGACTACAGAAAATCTGGGTTTCACCTAAAAAAAAAATTCTAAGGGACTGGGGATATAGCTCAGTGGCATAAGCGCCTGCTTGGCAAGTGCAAGGTCCTGAGTTTGGTCCCCAGTACAAAAAAATAAATAAAAAATAAAAATCTAAGAGCTGGAAACCTTAGTACATTCCTCCTTCACAGATGGGTTGAAGTCAGGTGGCAACCCAAGGCCCAGTGCTCATTTCCTGTGAGCCGCACCCCTACAGGGCTCAGCACCTGCCTGCCTCTGCCAGTCCATAGCTAGTGCCCCTGAAGGCATCCCAGTGTGGACCCTAGTCCTGACCAACTATGAAACAGGCACTGTGTGGGGCCAAGGTGGCCAGCACGCTATGGTGCTAAATGGTGAGCCCTGGTCATGCTGCACTCCTAACTCCCTGGTCCCCAGCCATGACAGTCCCAGTGCCCACCCCAGCTATGGGCATGGGAGTCCCACAGAACAGGACACAGCATATGCCTCTTACATCCTCAGCCAGGTCCTGGGGTGTCTCATCCTCCACATTCAACAACAGGGCATCAGCACCAGCCTGGCACAGTGTGTATGAGATGCTGCCCAGGCCACGGCCAGCAGCCAGGTGCAGTGGTGTGCAGCCATTGAGCATGCGGGCATCCACCTGGGCACCCGCCTGCAGCAGGAACTGCACCAGGCCCCGCTCCTGGGTTTCCACAGCCAGGTGCAGGGCTGTCTTCCCACTGGTGCCCTCCTGCAGGGACAAGGATGTTAGCAAGGCCCCTGGGGCAGTGGGAGGGGAGGGCACCTGGGTGCTGGGCTGCCTCACCTGGGCATCGATGTCAGCCCCATTCTGCAGCAGCAGCTCCATGAGCGGCTGGTTCCTCTGCAGGGTGGCGATATGGAGGCAGGCCAGGCCTGGAGGCAGAGATGGGGTGCTCATGGGCATCCGGACCCTGCCCCATGGGACCCTCTGCCCACTAGACAGTTATCACAAGACAGGGCACAGCCCTAAAACCCCCACAGGAGTCTGAGGGGAAAGGACCTCAAAGTTTCCACCTTTCAGAGTCATGTTACTGAAACTGTCATGCTTCAGGGATCAGGCAGCCCATGACAGCCCCCAATACACACCCTGTCCCAAGATGCACCCACCCACACATGAAGGGACACACATGGGGACTCAAGCTCACAGGATACTACATGCCCTAAAGCCCAGCCCTGGCTTCTCTATAAAACAAGTTCAGGGTCACCCTGTTGTCCCCATCCTTTCCAGAGACCACTTGATCCTGTGGACACCCTTGGCATTGTGGGTTGATTTCACTTCTTTTTGCGCTCTCCCTTCTGGTCTCATAAGAGATTCAGAGTTAATTTATGTCCTTCATCTTCTTCAAATCTCTGTAGGCCCTGGGCCAAGTCCTTTCTTGGCCACCCCACTTAAACATCCCATCAGTTTTCACTCTGCAGCACCTGCTCCCTGTGAGCACATCCACAACACACTTCTTTCATTTGCTGTCTCTGACTTGGTTTGGCTCACAGATGCAAGCCCAGCTCCTAGAAGCCCCTCAGTACATTTCTGTTGAATGAATGACTGTATCTAACCTCTATTTAACTATCCTTCCCCTGCCATTTGTACTGAAGATTGAACCCAGTGCCTGCATACTAAGCTGTATCTCTTGCCCCTCACCCCCAGTTTTTGAGACAAGGTCATCCCTGAACTTACTCACTATGTTACCCAGGCTGGATTTGAACTTGTGATCCTCCTGCTTCAGCCTTCCAGAGTGCTGGAACTAAGGAGTGTGCTACCATGATGGCTTAAACTAAATATCTTAAGGACAGGATTTAGATTTCTGCTCAGCACACCATAGGTGCTATATAAATTTTGACTCATTCATTCACTCACTCACTCGCTCGCTCACTCACTCTTTCATTCATTTCTCTATCTGGCAAAGTTGTACTGAGTGCCCACATGCTTAGAGCTGGAGAAGCACCAGGGTCAAGATGGGATCTTCCCTTTCCTGGGACCAAGGTCCCCATCTCCTATCCCCCATCCTGTAAGCCCTGGGGCTGCCCATACCTTGCCAGTTCTGCAGCTGGAGGTCCAGGGGGTGGATTGGTCCTCGGCCTGGCTCTGGCTGCCCCTCCAGCAGGCAGCGGGCACAGGCCAGATGCTGGCGCTGGCAGGCCACGTGCAGGGCTGTGTCACCGTGCCGGTCCTGCAGCGTCCGGCTGGCCCCTTTCAGCACCAAGGCCTGAACAGCACTTGGCTGGTCCAGATGTACAGCCAGGTGCAGAGCAGTCTGTGGGGACAGTAGAAAGTTACACAGAGAATGTGCTGGGCAGTCACAGCAGTCTCTAGATTCTAGCACCACTTTTGGAAGCAGCTCACAAAGCCTATAGTCTCAGTCTCCCAAGCCTTTCCTGTCACCCCACCAAGTTATGAAAGCAGGGTGAGGCCCTTATTCTAAAGTCCCTCAGCCTCTAGAGAAAAGACACCTGGGAACCAACTCCAGTCCTTCACCTCGGGGAGACTTGTGTAATTGGGGGTACGCAGGATAGGCTTGCCCTGCTACCTCCCCTGGAATCCCTTCCCATAAAGCTCCATTCAGATGCCACCTCCTACACTCTGCCTTCATCACAACTGTAGTTACGGGCTGTGTGACCAGGCAGTGCAAGGGTTGTGTGCTACTTTTATGTGCTCTCAGCTCTCACTGGTGCCTGGCACACAGCTCACTGGGTGACCCTGGTGTGCTTCTAGGATTGCTGCCAGGCAGGTACCTGGGGACCACCTCCTCCCTGCACTCACCTGGTAGAGGTTATTCTGAATGTCCAGGACCTCCTGGGGAAGCAAGGCCAGGCAGCACAGCAACATGGCTGGGGCCTCATGGATCACTGCCAGGTGGACCAGCCTGGGGCAGGAGAGGGTGTAGGGTCAGGGCCTGGACCCCAGGTGGGCCCAGGTCTTGGGGTTGAAAGGAACCCATCAACCGCTAACAGGCACCTGTGACTTGGGTGCAGGAAATAGGAGCTGGGACCAGGAAGTGAGGGTGAGTGTGGGAAGCCAGAACTCGGGGGTGGGAGCTCCACGTTCCCTTGGCAAGGGCCAGGGCTGGATGGCACACATGGGCAGGGTGCTGACAGACAAAGGCTTTCCTGTCCAGCCTGCCCATACCTCATGCTGCTCCACCCCAGGACCCTACAGGCCAGCTGCAGCTGAGAGCCAAACTGAAAGCTGCAGAGTGGCTCGAGGGGGTTTCCAGGGCTGGGCTCCCCACCTTGCCAGGCAGGAGGGATGGGGAACAGAAGTGGGGTTCCCCCAGTGCCTCCCAAGGGAGAGAAAAGCTCTTGGAAGAGGGATGAGGAGAGAGCAGCATTTGTCGCACTGCCTTGCCCTTCCCAGTGCACTGCACGCCCTTCTATGTCCCTGTGCAGTCCAGGAGACTCCTGTTTGATGGGAGATAAGAGTCACAACTTAGGGACAAAGCGGGCAGTGGGAGGGAAGTTCCAGTTCCGGGGTTTCCCCATGTCAGGTGGGGAAAACGAAAGGAGGAGCTGTAGGGTCTGGGCTGGGCAGCATAGAGGAGCAGGCTGGCTACTATGGGCTGGCTACTATGGGCGGGGAAGGGGCTGCACAGGCAGCAGGGCCAGGCTTTAGCCTCAGGCAGGCAGGCAGCCCAGGAGAGAGTGACAGGGAGGGAAAGACAGCTCTGGAAATCCCCTCAGCCAGGGCCGCTCTGGGGCCACATTCCTGCCACCACCTCTGTTTCTCCCTGTCTCCCCTCCTCCCACTTCCTCTTCCTACTTTCACATACCTCTTAGCCCAGGAAGAAAGGCCATATTTTGGAGAGGGACCCACAAGGGAGCCCTGACCCTCGCCCTGCGCGCGTGCGCGCGCGCGCGCGCGCGCACACACACACACACACACACACAGCACCTGTCTCTGATTAGCTAGGTGGCAAAACTGGGTTAGAGAGACCAACAAGACAACAATGTGAGGAGTCCTCCCTTATGGGTCAAAGGTCAGTCATGGGACTCTGGCATGGAGCCCCCACAACCTTGGGGTTCTGGGAATGGGGTTCAAAGGCCCTCTCCTCCTCCTCACTGGGTCAGAGGCTGTTCAGCAATACCCACCTCAGATGAACACCCCTACATCTCCAACACAGTTCAGGACAGATTCCCTGTGTGCCCTGCCCTGCCCCTGCTTATTATCATCTCTGATCTGGGGCTCCAGCCCCCTCTATTTCTCACCCCAAGCCCCAACCACTCCCTCCTCTACCAGTGTCCTCTGCTTCCTGGGACATGTCCTCAACCAGCCAGCCTGTCCCACACCACCTCTTCCTCCAGCTGCCTACTGTCCCAGTCTCCAACAAACTCCATCTGGGTCTGAGGGAAGAGGGGCTGAGTGAGGGGTGGGACAGGACAGGTCAGCGAGGAGGACTTGGCCGTGGGGGGGCTCCGAGGTGGCGCGTGCTGAGGAGTCTGGCTCCAGCCCTCACTTCCCCTTTCTGAGCAGAGGAGGAAGTAGACTGGGGAGCCGGCTACCTCAGTCTGTTGGGGCAGCAGCGCCCCGACAAATCACCTTCTTGTTTGCAGGGTCGCCCCAGCCCCGAAACCCTCGTCCTTCGCCCCGGAGCTTCCGGACCCCAAAGGGCAATCTGTAGCCTGTAGCCAGACGCCACTTGTTCCTCGAGACAGAGCATTCCGAGGTCACGAGCTGGGAATCCCAGATGTTGAGCAAACAAGGATGCCCCCTCCCCCAACAAGAAGAAAACAACTGGACCGGGCAGGGGAATTTTTCTCCTCCCAAGGGGAAGACTGGGAGATTTCTAAGATGCGGGCTTGGGCTCCAAGTGCTGGGTGGGTCTCCTGCTGGCTCTGCCCACTCCCACAGGAGGCAAAGGATGCCAGGTGCTGGATCTGGGCTTGGCGAGCGCTCAGAAGAATACGTATGGAGTTTGCAGAGGAGAGTGGGAGCTGTCCCCTGCAGGGCCTCAATGGATCTCCGTGAAGGTGGGAGCCCTGGGCAGCAGCCTGCCCCCGCCTAGCCCGTACTCACGTGTCGCCGTCCTCGGAGATGTAAGTGAGCGCTTCGAGCTGCTGGGCGCTAAGGGGACTCGCGGCGGGCAGTGGCGAACCGGGGCGGGGGGCCTCAGGCTCGGAGACCCCGGGGAGGGGCAGGGGCTCAATAAACGAGGCGGAGGCGGGGGCGGAGGCGTAGGCCGAGTAGGTGTGCACGCTCTCCTCGTCCTCCTTGGCGGCGCTCGGGGTTGCCGGGCCGGACTCCGGCAGCGAACGCAAGGAGCGCAGCGACTCGATTCCCGAGTCGCACTGGCTGTCGTCTGCTTCCGCCGGGTCTTTGCGCGTTCCAGACATATCGCCAGCCCCTTCCCGGTCGCCGTCCGCCGGCGGCGGCGAGGGCGCCGAGCTCCGCCGCGTCCACCGCGCCGACTGCGCTCGCCCCGCCCAGCAGTGCTGGCCACGCCCCCGACACGCCCCCGACGGCGCTTCCGGATCAAGGCCCCGCCCCTCCGGAATCCCCCGGACCTGCGCTTGCGTAGGCTGGAGTCATGGTTACAGTTCTGACTCACGCTTGCGGTAATGAACTCCGCGTTCATTCATTCGCTCTCTGTCTTTCTTCATTCCATTCGTTCATTGTTTTTCCTCCATGTCTTCTTTTTAAAAAGTCTTTTTTTTTTTTTGGTACAGGGTCCCGCTATGCAGTTTGGACTCCTGTCTCAGCCTCCGCAGCGCTGGGATTACAGGCATGCACCCCCACTTGTGGTTTCGGTGGCCCGCAGGGCTGCACGGCATGCAGTACCGGTGATCGAACCTGGCCTTGCCCTTGTCAGGCAGGAGCTTATACCGCGAAGCTATCTCTCCGGCTCCAATTTCTTTATTTATTCATTCCTTTTAATTTTTTATTATTTTATTTATTTGTTTATTTTTGCGGAACGGGGGATTGAACTCAGGCCCTTGTGCTTGCTAGGCAAGCACTTATTCTACTGAGCTATCTCCCCGGCCCCCCTTTTGATTTTTTAAATGTAATGTATTTATTTTTTGGTACCTGGAATCAAATTCGGGACCTTGCTCTTACCTGGCAGGCACTTGTGCCACTGATCTATATCCTTGTCCCTTAAATTTTTATTTTATAAAGTTGAACCCAAGACTGGATCTCAGTACACCCCGAACCCCTGTTTGCAGTACATAATGATCACACTCCTCGTGGGGAGATTTTGCCCAGACATAACGCTTCCCGCTTTTGCTTTTACACATTTCCTCTCCCCTCCCTTTGTTCTTTGGACTCCTTCCCTTCTGCAAAAGATCTAGCCGTTTCTATTATCTTTTATTTTGCTCTTTAATTTACTATACTTTGGGGCTGGTGAGATGGCTCAGTGGTCTAAAGCACCTACTTAGAACAAGCTTAGCAAAGCCCAGGGACTGCGGTTCAATCCCCCAGCACCACCACATGCCAGCCAGCCCCGCCTCCTGGTGGGCTGAGCTGGCCACACACACACACACACAAATAAATAAAAAAATAATAAAAAAATAATTTACTATACTTTGTCACTCCTTTGTTTTAGAGGAATATTTATTAATCTTCTGCACAAGTTGGACACTTTGTGGAGGAAGATTGAAAGACTGCTTCCTGTCCCCTGCCTGGGTCCAGGAATATGTGTGGAACGGAGGACCCATTAGGATATCTGGGGAGCAGGTCTTCACTGGGGTGCTATGCAGAGAGCCTCTGGTGTCTATTTCCCACTCAGAGACCTGGACATGGGCTGTGCTTCTGGAAAGTGGGTTTTTTTCAGGCAGCCTCCTATCTAATGAGCCTGTGATCATGGGCCTCCTTCCTCCTCAGGGTGAACCACTGACCTCACTCAGGCGGCTGTGGCATCTGGCCCCTCCCTCCCAGTGGTCCGGGAAGTGTAGTTCCTCATGATGGGGCTGGGATGGGGAGGTCCCAGGCCAGACCTAGCCCTAACATCTTCCCTTCCCTGTCCCTGCTCTTCCTGTGCCCAGGAGGCCACCACCACCCACAGATAAGCTTCAATCCAGCACCTTCTGACTGCTTTTACCCATGACTCCAACTGCCATTGACCTTGGCTGGCAATGCTCTTAGAGGATCACCCCTAAGGGAACAGGGGTGTGTGTGTGTGTGTGTGTGTGTGTGCATGTGTGCGTGTGTGTGTGTGTGTGTGTATGTGTACTGAACACAGAGCCTTTGCACTGGCTATATCCCCAGGCCAGCCCTTTCTAAATTTTTTTTTTAATTTTGAAACAGCACCTCACTAAGTTCTTAAGTTGCCCAGGAAGGTCTTGAACTTGCAAAGGTCCTGCCTGAGCTTCCCAAAGTGCTAGGATTACAGGTACATGCCAGCACACTCAGCATCCTTTTTATCTCTGCCTTGGAATGAGGAAGCTGGATAAAGCAGGCAGCTATTAAGTAGCACTCTTTTGCCCCTCCCCTGAAATCTTGTTTTATTCTTCCACCCATTCACTCATTTGACAAAACATGTATGAGACTTCTGCTATCTGCCTGATACTGTTCTCTGTGGGGAGCGCAGCCAACTATTACAATAACACTCATAACCAATACCCACATCCCCCCCCCAAGAAATTCCCAAGGTCCAGCCTTCAAAAGGCTTCTTGGTGATCCCAAGTCACAGTGGTTTCACTAAGGCAAACATAGGAATAGGTGTAGAGGAGGACACATGGCCAACTTGTCAGTGGGGTGAAGCCAGTGAAGATTCCATTTGGACTGGAAATGGAAAGGGAAGAAAGGTGGGGGAGGAGGGAAGAGTTTGGTCTTTTCCCCTGTTCTCCATCCACTCCAAGATCGGGGTGGGGAGGATGCCTTAGGTAGGAGGCTGCACTTGGGTGCAGCTCAGTGGTAGAGCACTTGTCTAGCAAGTAGAAGTTCCAGCCTTATGCTTGCCTTTGGGAATAGTGTGATTTCAAATGTTCCAGCCTCCACCCCTGCATGCTCCTCTCCCTTCCTCAGAGTCTGCAGAAAGAAGTGTCATATGAAGATCAATTGGGTCCAAATCTAGCATCATATTCTTTTTTTTTTTTTCTCGCGGAACCGGGGATTGAACTCTGGGCCTTGTGCTTGCCAGGGAAGCACTTATTCCACTGAGCCATCTCCCCAGCCCCCACATTCTAAATGCTGAAAAGCTGAGACCCAAGTGGGTGAGCTCACTTGCCACTGATCTCCCAGCAAGGAACTGCAGGGGTGTGGTCTCCTAACCTAACTCAAATCCTGGTTTGTTTCAGGGAAATCTTTCTTTGTTTTTTGTTTTTGGAACTTTCTTCCCATATCAAGGTGGAAGTCACAAAGATGGGCATCTGAGTCCTCTTCCATGGCACAGACCTCAGGAAGGAGGTAGTAATTTCTCTTGTAGTTCACATGGAGAGAGGCTCAATTTAAGGAAATCTTAGCCTGGTCCGCCAAGCATGTCTGGCTTGTGACAGCCCCTTTTCTGGCCACGTGAGGTCAGTATTGAGTCACACACTACCCTCTGCACTCCCGCACTCTCCCAGGAAGTTCTTCTGACACTGCAGGAATGAAGGGGAGGAGGGACTATGTCAGTGGTATTTGGATGCATGGCTTGGGAACTTTGACTCAGATTGCACTGTGCTCAGGGCCCTGGCTTTGACTCCTCAGCAAGACCTCAGGGTGGACCTTTCTGGTCCTCCTGTTGCCCTGCTGGTTCCCTCTGTGGTGGTCTCTACTCACCTTGCCAGGCTCATTTCTACAATGACGCATGGTCAGGTGGGTCCTTTCACCTCCTTACCAACACCCTTTTTTCCTGGAGCTTCCTGGAAAGGCTTAAGTGAGTGAAAGAAGGCAGGGGTCCTCTGGGGAGCTCCAAAGTGGGCCAAAAGGAGTTGGGCTGTTTCCTGTGCCATTGTTCCATGAGGTAGAGAAACAGTGGGTGTCAGGAGAAGGATTTTAGAAGTTGAATGGGCTGGATGTGATGGCATACACTAAGAGCTTGAGGCCAGCCTGGGTTACATGGGTGTGTTCAAGGCCAGCCTGAACTACACAGCATAAATAAGTAAGCAAACACTGAATGGAAGAGTAGGGAACTCGTGCAGCTTAGGACCGGTCACCAGCACCAGCAACCCTCAGGACCTCTACTCTTGTCTGCAGGAGGCCTGGACTTGGTTCACAGGTCTGAAACAAAAAGTGCAGTTTGGCTGGAAGACCGACTTCCCCAACAGCATGGGTGGGAGACACAGGAATGAGCCAAGCAAAGAGATTCCACCTATGCCCCTGGAGTGACAAGAACCCCAGCCTTTTCAGGACCACAACTTCCTTGTTAGGCAGGAGTAATGTATCACTGCCCTGGAGTGAGTCCTTTGGCCAGGCCTGAAACGTTCTGAATCAGTAGGTGGCAGAGAGGAGCCCCTGGACCTTGCCTACAAAGGGAAGGGAGGGGAATGGCTGGATCAGGACTGGGGGAGGGGGGGCGACAGTGGCTCTCCTGTCCCAGATGAGACCCACATTAGTGTGCCTATATCCCATCCATCAGGGTCAGATACCCAGGCCTTGCCACAAGGTGACTTCCCACCCCAAAGGTTTCCCTAGACTTTGGAATGGGAAGAGCTTGAATCCTGTGCATGCTAGTAGGTGACCTGATGAATTCATGCACTCTTCCTCTGCCTTGATTCCTGGTGAGAAAAGGAGCTCAGTTGCTGTATATTGAAGGCCCTAATGACACACAGTAGGGCTCCACAGCAGCTGTGCCCAAAGATTGATGGGAGGCCTTGATCACATCCCATCACAGTGATGGCTCCAGGGCCTCCCCTTCCCATTAGATTTGTTGTTTCTAATAGGATTTGGGGGCAAGGTGCTAAGGACAGAACTCGGAACTCAGTATCTCGCACATGTCAGGCAAATGCTGTGTCTCCGAGCTACGTCCCAGCCTTAAGAGTGGGAGCTATTTGTTCCGTGCAGGACACACTGTCTTAGCAGATTCTTGTTCGCAGGATGGAGGTGGGGGGGTGTGGGAAGGCTGCCTGCAGTACCCCAACCTGTGGGGTCTGTGCTTTTGCTTCTCACCTCCACAGCTCAGGGCCTCCGAACTTGGGCAGCTGACTTTCTTGCTGAAGAACTTCTTGTTGAAGAAATGAATGAGGGCTCGGAGAGGGGAAGATACTCGCTCAAGGTCACCCAACTCGTTAGTGACAGCCAGGCTTAAAAATGAGAACTCAGTTTCCTTGACCTCCAGCTGAAGGCACTGTGCTCACTTCCTTCCTTCTGGAGGGCTGAATTTCAGGGGACTCAAAATCCGAAGACAGTTCGCTCGAGGCCAGTCCTGCGTCCTCCTCTCTGTCCTCTGTCAGTCCTTTCTCGATTCCAGATCCCTACTCTTCCTTGTACCTAACTCCATCCCCCTGGAGCCTGGGTCCTGTCCAACCCTCTACTAGCACCTAGCAAATGAGGATTTTCCCGGGCCAAGACCCCTATCCCTTCCCAGCCCGAGCCCCAGGACCTGGGGGAGCGGAGACAGGGTGTTTGGTCCTCTGCGGCGCCCCTAACCTGGAAGGATGGGGGATGCTGCATACCGATCTTCCTAGACGGGCGCGCGGCGTGGGGCTCGGGGCCTGCGCTGGGAAGGGATGCAAGGAGCCCCTGTTGCTTCTCCCCTTTGGGGGGTGGCTAGGAGGCAGGCCTGGGGAGGGCGGAGTTTGGGGGGCCGGGGGCGGGGCTCGGCGGCGCCGGGAGGAAGGGGGGGCGCGCTGGCTCCAGCTCGGCTCAGACAAAAGGCGGCGGCGGGAGCGGGCTGGAGGCGGAGCGGCGCCCGG